GCCATAGAAAACAAAAATAATTTAGAATCACTCCTTTCAATCTTTTATTAATTATTTAAATGGTAATCTCTAAAGAACTAACTACATAAATCCAGAACTTGCATAGGCTTCTACCCTGAACCTGCAACTTGAAATCATCAAAATCCTTATAGTGTTCTTGACTTTTTCCCCCTACTTTCAATTAACAAGAACAAAGATACTACTCTCTATTAAGTCCATTTTTGAGTAAACTAATTCCCCTATTAGTGTTCCATGGCTGGCATTAGGTAAGTAGGGGGGAAAAAAAGAGTTCACTGTGTAAAATACTAAGCATACCATCATCCTCTGGCACTTCTGAATTCTTTCATTTCTGCACCCTAAAACTGCAGAAACAACACCACTCATGAATGGTTAAAGCTAAAATAATTAGTTGGTGGGATACAATAATATCCACCACAATTCATAATTTGTGCCCCACCCCCAAGATTCACATGTTGAAATCCTAACCCCTCAGGTGATGCAGGAAGAGGTGGGTCCTTTGAGAGGTGATTAGAGCCCTCATAAATGGGATTACTACCCTTATAAAAAAGGCCCCAAGGAGCCTCTGTGTGAAAACACAGGAGAATGCACCAGCTATGAACTAGAAAGCAGGCCCCTACCAGACACAGAATCTCCCAGCTACTTCAACATGGACTCCACAGCCTCCAGAATCATAAGAAATGAATCCCTATTATTTATTAGCCACCCAGTTTATGGTATTTTCTCGTAGCCACCTATATAATGGGGCACAGCAGGGGTCATAGAAACAGCCAGCAACTAAAAATAAGCCTATATTTAAAACTAGCATATTTTAAATTTCAATCATATGGCATTCCTTGCTATTCTAGTGATAAGCGTTAATTATTCTTAAGTTCAATAAAATGGGATCTAAAAAATGAGAATCAAGTGTCCAAAGTACCGGACATTAATTTAATATAGCATCCTACAAAAAGAATTGTTATTGAAAGTTAAATGTGTTCCTCAGATAAAGGGATAAATGTCTTTTGTCTTTTCAAAGGTCATAACTCAAAGCCCTATTTACTTGAATTCAACCTAGGAAGGAAATGCTGACCAGAGCAAGAAAAGTGTTCTTGCTTAGCAATACTGTCACATTAAAATGCTCCTTCACATCCTTTCTGTTTGTTTTTAATAGGCCAGACTGCAACCCAGAGACAAGAAAAAATCAACAAAGGCTCTGAACATCAACATGACCTTGGCTAACATTTGCATTCCACCAGGACAGATGACTCAAACAAGTAAACTTAGCAATTCCATCAGTGGCTGTCTTGCCGAACATACACAGAGCTTAAAAAAATCAGTTCCTTTAGGGGTCTCCATCCTTTGTCCTTCAAAAAAAACTCACTCTCATCACCTCCAAGCACTCTGGTTCTCTTTCTTGCCAAAAGAAATGTTCAGAAGATGAGAAATGTTGACCTAAAAGAGCTATCATTCACTCCTTCCATTTTGGGTTGCTCAAAGGTGTTAAGTTGCAGCGTTTTATCAAGGCCCTGGTCTGGGGCTAATGGATTGCCCTCCAATAGAATGCTTTAAATATTTTTAAACATTTTTTTTCTTCTTTAGGGATATAAAAATATAAACCAAGTACTTAACTTCACTTCAGGCATAATGATGGAAAGGAGTTAAACTAGGAACTAGAAGTCCAATCTCAAAGCGGTCCCACTCTTAAATAATTCTGGGACCTTGGGCAAGTCACAAATTTTCTGGGACCCTGGTTTATTATGCATACAAGAACTAGAAAAATTGATTGTAAGGTTGCTTCTAGTTCAAAAAATGCTCATGATCCTAATTCTTACTAAGTCACTTCCTGCCATATCAAAGTTAGCAGGGAATAATGGGGAAAATACCAGATTGGGATCTGACATGCATGGGTTTTAACACTGAGGTTAGAACATCTCTGATACACAATTTCCTTACTATAGGAGAAATAATATTACCTAACTCACCAAGTGGTTATGAAGATTAAACAAGATGACACACAACTTCTATTAAAGAGGTTTGCTTTGAATACAGCCTCAGAAAATGTATTCCCTAATTGTGTTTTCCACTCTGCACTTACTTTACAAATCAACATGAATTGAAGTCTTTCAAAGTACCACTTCTGACATGGACTACTTATCCAATTGTAACATTAAAATTTCTATTTCCAAATACTTTGCTTTTCTACCTCCTTCCTATGAATATTCTGCATACTGAATAGCCTCCTTTCTAATTGTACTCCTTCAATTATAGCTTTTTTTTTTTTCTTTCTTTTCAAGGGCAATTAGTTTCTTTGCTCTGCTCCTTTCTTGCATGTGGATAACTCCACACCTAAACATTTGGTCCTCTCAGCATCTCAGAGAAAAGATACTGCTATGTCATACCTGTTCAACTGGAAAACAAATACAAATTAATCTAATTGAGATAGAATCTTCCTGGGGGAAACTCACCTCTCCAAATCTTTCCATGTTTTGTATTTTTGATAAGCTTCCACTAATAGACATATCATCCAAGCTAGAAAGAATTTTATTAATACTTCCTTCACTGGATGGTCTATTTTTCAGTTTGGATCGGAAAATGTCTCCTTGTACCCACAATGATGCTTGTTTTCTGTAAGAGAGCAATCAAAAACAATCTTTAAAATAAATTACTACCATCTCTTCCTAAAAATTAAAAAGAGAAAATATTAGCAGGACAACATTTACAAATCAGACTATGAAAATCAGATTGTGAAATAAGATATTCATATTATGAAATTTTGAACAAAGAAAAATAAAATATCTTTCAAAAGTCAAAATAAATTTAAATTCTATATTAAACACAAATAAACACAAATATTTGTACATATAACTATGCATGGGTTGACTATTGAGGCCCTCATTATAAAGACTTGAGAAGTTTCTGGCCTTTCAAATATGAACTTGAAGTTTGTAAGATATCTTTCAAGTAGTAATTTGATTTGTCTGTTATAAAAACAACCAGAATGAATTGGATTGACAATAGATGCAAGAACTCAAGTTACGTGGAGATTATACCCCCAAAAGCACTAAGCACCTCCTTTTGTGGACCCTCAACACATAACTTTTAAAACCCCACTCTTAAAATCTAAAAGCAAGTCCTAAAAATCCCAATCAGTTTTTCCTTTGGGAAAAGAAAATGTGAGGTTCATTCATAAGCTTTCTTTTATTCAGAAGGCACAAATGCAACTGTTTTCAAGGTTATCAGAAGAGAACTTAAAATACATGAGCAAAATAATCATCAAGGGCTTCTATTTTTATTGGTGAGGTCACCTTCATACATTTCTTTTAAGATAAGTTATTCCATAGAATAGTTTTATTTCTATCCTATATCACATTCTATAGGGAGGAATTAATCATGAGGAACATTAGCAGTTAATGAATAACAGCATTATCAGGGTGATGCTACCAATAAGAACTGATTTTTTTTTTAAGCAACAGGCAAAGAAAGCAATCCTTTCTCTCACAGTTTCTACATATCACATAATTCAGGTTTATTAACAAAAGAAGTAAAGCAATGTTATTACACAGGGCCCTTGCAAAAGAATCCATCTCCCCTTATAAATAAAGTTTATTCTCAAGTCAGAACATTGTTGTTTTTGGTCAAACACCATTGAATGTCAGGAAGAACAGGTTAACCTGTAGATCACAGCTATAGTGCACATGTGTAATCCCCCAACACACATTTAGATATTATCTTACAAAAATAAACACTGTGTATAACATAAAAAAAATTACTGAAGTATTATTTGCAATAGAAAAAATTGTTGGGAACACCCTGGTGGAAAACCAGCTCATTAGATTGCATTAGCCCCATTTTATGCAGTATTTCATGGATGCATAAAGCCTGTGATGGACCCACATTAGGTTAACAGGAAAGAATGGCCATGAAATGAAGTATTAATAAGTGAAAAGTACAAGTGGCAGAGTGTGGAAAGTGAGGTCCCTTTTGTGTTAAAGGAAATAAAAAAGTTGTAATGTTAACGAAAAGTTCAGTTACCTAAAAAAATATCTCACAAAATATTCACCAGTTACCTTGAGAAGGATGATAAGGAAAACTTTCACTTTCTACTACATCATGTCGACACTACTTGACTTCTTTTTAACAATATGCCTCAATCACTTTGGGGGTAAAAAAGTGATCTAAAAAACCAAATAAAAATAACAAGCAGAACAAAGCTAGATAAGTACGGAAAGGAATCTTTGAGGTTGTTATAAGAGATGACAGACAACACGTCACTGTATATTCTTAACAACACGACTTACAAAGAAAGGTCCTTTAGAAGTTAGCAGAATAACTGCAAAAAGGTTAACAGTATGGGGTAGGACTGGATGAGTGGAGGACTTTCTTTTTAGTAGAATATCCTACCCTACTTTCAAATATGAGGTAATTTTCCCTTTTTCCCCCCTAATATATATATATATATATATATATATATATATATATTCCATAAATATATATATGTATATATATATTCCATAAATATAAATATATATATATATATTCCAAGTAAAACAAAGGAGGAAGAAATACCTTTACATCTGATTTCTGAGATAGCAAATATAAAGGTTATAGATATAAAATATGTTGTCCACATATAGGACTAACCTACCATTTCTTATATTGTTCTCAAATTGAAAACTAGTTTGAATTGTCTTAGCAAAGTTTAGTATACTTCTGAATAGATCAAATGTATTTTAAAAGTCTGCTGAGTTTTTTAAAAATAGGGATAAAATTAAAATTCAAAAAATCTATATACATCAATTTACTAGAGAATGAGGCAAGATCTACCATCTATCATGGTGGAAATTTGATTTTTGGAAGCAAACTTCTGAGATGTCTTTTCTGAGCTTAGGATATGTACGTTGATGAGATTAACATACCACTGCACCACAGTTAATTTATCCTATATATCAATTGCAAAAATATGGATTCAAAACAAAGTCAACATTTCTTTCCTTAGTTCAAATCTTAATAAAATCAGGGAATAACCTCTCACATTTCACATCTTCAAAAAAAATCTTGCTTTCTTTTTATTCTACCTCCTAATTCACTACTGCATGCCAACAGCTAGCATAACCTCTGATCTAATCCTTGAATCTATGACCTCCACACAGTAGTACACAAACAGTAGAGTCCTTGACAGAGAAAGACTGGTTCAAAAGATGACTGTTAAATTCATTAAGATGTTTAGGGTATCTGGTTAAAATTCCCACTATAATAAGGGAGACAGAATTCAGCTTTATCACAAATATGACAAATTCATATCAACAAAATACCAAATGAATAAGGACATAAGGGCTGGGATTGGGGCTCAGCAGTAGAGCACTCGAAAGCATACGTGAGGCACTGGGTTCAATCTTCAGCACCAAATAAATAAATAAATAAATAAGTTGTGTCCACCTACAGCTAAATACACACACACACACACACACACACACACACCAAAAAAAAAGAATAAGCCTAAGTATAAAAAAAACCCAAATCCTGTCCCTTAAGAAGTTCTTGGTTTAGGATGAGAAAAGTAAACTGAAAACCAGTATTATAAGCTCTATGACCAAGATTCACACAGAACCCTAGGATAAGGGGCCCCAACTCGATCTGAGGGACTCAGAGAGAAATTACCAAAGAATCCAGACGTACATTATTGTGGTGCACAATGGATGTTTCCATCAACTGTGGATCATGTATATGTAGGTGGTCCCATGAGATTACAAAGGAGCTGAAAACTTCCTATTGCCTAGTGACATCAAAGTCATAACAAGGCCATCGTGCGACACGCTCCTCACATGTTCATGGTGATGCTGGTATAAGCAAATCCACAGTGCTGCCAGTCATATAAAAGAACAATACATACAATTATGTATCCTACATAATGCCCAACAGTGATAATAAATGACTGTTATGGACTTATGTACTTACTATACTATACTTTAATCATTATTTTAGAGTGTTCTCCTTCTATTTGTTTAAAAAAAAAAAGTCTACTATAAAACACCATGCTTTATCACAGACAGCAGCCTCACACATCTTGTTTTTGCCACTGTCTCTTCATTGCATCAAGAGGCCAGGTGAAGCAATTTACCTATACCTTCTAGGCTTGTGTAAATACAACTATCATATTCACAGGATGACAAAATCAACTGTCCTTAGGCAAAAAAAAAAAAAAAAAAATCTGAGAACTCCCTGTCCTAAGGCAATGCACAACTCTATCTGGAAATACATAAGCAGGACTTGGCCAGCAAAAAGCATCCCCAAAGCAAAGAAAACAATGTGTAAGGTGCAGAAATAGTGATATCAGAGAACACGGCATGTTTGGGGAACAGAGTTGTTTAATTTGGCTGAAGCTAAGGATTTTAGAGAAGTAGGTAAGAAGCAGCTCAGGATGGGTCCTGCATGCTATGCTAAGACATAATAAATCAAATAAATCCACAAATAAATCAAAGACCTGTAACCATCTTTAGGAATAAAAACCATAAAAAGAGGCTAAGTTGAGGGGGAAAAAAACTCCAATTCTAAAATAAGTTATAAAATGAAAATCTGATACTGTTGCTAGAGATGAAAATTACAAAGTGACAACTTTCACATGCTTGGTTTAAAAGATTCAATCTGTCCCATCTCTGGAAAGACTTGATTTGAACCTGAATATTAAAGATGAATAAGGTGTCAGAGATGATTTGAGTGTTGCTAAGCGATGCTGTACGCAAGTGCTTCTTGGAAAAAAAAAAAAAAAAGCAGTGCTCACGAAAATACCTTTTTATTGACAATGAAAACCAAGCAAGCTTTTATTGTGGTGTCTGTTACTCTTTAAAAGCCTCATCTCCAACAAAAGAAGTAAAACATGTACTTTTGTATTTAACATTTAAAAATCAAATTTTATGAAGCTAATACATCTGCTGGAAGTAAACCCTCCAATTATGCAGTGCATAGAGTTTGAAACCACTGGTCCTTGCTACCAGAATCCGTGCTTTGCAATGATAGGAAGAGATTGGTCTTGATCTGAACACGTTGAGAGATGTAACAGGCTGGGGTAATTGCTTTTGGCTGTGTCCTGCCCCTTGGTTAGTCAGACTTAGCCTAGCCAAGAAAGGGACTAAGAAAATAACTAAACAACTTGGCTTCATTATGAGCCAATTTATAATTGATTCTGACATAGAGACTTCATATTTCTTAGTAAATATCTCATTTTATAGTCCTATAGTGAAACTCAAGTCAGTTGTGCTGCTATAAATATTTCTGTTTTTTTGAGTCCAGAGAACAATGGATGTCACTATCTGGTCATTTTGTGTAGACTTCCTAGCACTTTCTAGCTTGGCCTGGGCCTACTCTAGCAGTGACTAAGATCATAATCTGTACCTCCCACTCTACCATCCCAGGGCTGTTATAGACACAGAGGTAGTTCCCAGCTAAAGAAGTGGGCTGATGAATGCTCTAGCTTGATGTCAGAGGAAGACAGATGAGAGGCTACAACCAATGAGCAGCAGATGAGGAGACTGAAGGGGTCCTACAAAAACACTGAGCCATAAATGGAAGATATTTAGAAAGAGAATTTCTGAAGGCTTAAGAGAATGCTCTTAATTTTGAAAAGTACA